ATTTGCAGAAACGGACCCGTACATTGGCCTGCGAGGTTTTCTGATTCGAACCCCCTGGATTTCTTTTTGTGGGGCGCTTTTACCCAACTACCCAACTAGCAAAGTAGTGCTATAAGCTTTTGGTAAAAGAACCGTTCAGCCATAAAAGTTCTCTATTGTTGTTGCCTGAACACCAAAATCCTGGCTTAATGTTGTGTGGAATGCAAATTTGCTTTCTGCAACATATTTGCTCTAAAATGAGGTGTTTAAAATATTCTTTAGCATAGTTATACAACACCTTATAGGACAAATTTTTAACTGTTGCATAAACGTTTATACAACTATTTTATACGGCATATTTGCACGTTAGTCAAAATGGTTGTGTTGTGGCATCCATGGTAACGTTTATAAAACAAACCCGAGCCTTGTTGTTTTGCTGGGCATATTACTACTTTAGCCAACAAGCTGCTCCCAACGGAAGCAACTGTTGTTTAGTAACTGTTAAAGGCTGTACATATGCTGGTATACAACTTCTCCATAACCTAACGTTCTGCTGTCATATTTATGTTAAAATGCCATAACCAATCGTTTAAGACAAACAACGCATGCATATTGATTCAAAAGGTTTTATCAACTGTTCAAACAGAAGATATAGATCTGGTACAAATTCTGGGTAAACCATACGACTCTGTCGGTATTTTATTTCAGACATTTGTCAAATTGTTGTATAACACCTGCAGGCAACACCAAGATATTCTAATAAACTGAAGACAACATGGACGATGCCATGATTGTACACAACCACCAGTCATATTGGGCAAACATTTATTCCTCTATTTAATATTAAATAATTGTGTTTCAGTTCGAAATTACAGATATAAAGTGATAAAAATTAGTGTAATTGTGTCTAAATATAGGATTTGTGGAAGATTTGATGCAGATAAGTTCAGTTATCCATCTTAAAAATCTAGACATACCTTTGATCATTATCAAAATATGCATCAAATAAGAAGCCCGTAGAAATTGCGTAACTACTTTGCTCGATAATTACAATAAAATTTGCTGCGCAAGTAATTCAATAGCCCTATATCACAGTGTAGAAGTTTATCATATACCTGTGTATGAAATTCACAATGGCCGATATGTCAGTAAACAAGATGACTGTAATGTGTTAGTAATATATTCTTCACTTCGTCTATGCAATACATAAGAAATAGTTTGGTTGCAATAAAGTAGAATCACGTAACATAATAGTTGTATAGTTGACAAAAACTGAATCTTGCACTGACGCAAATGTCCTATAGCGGCTGCAAGGGGCTTAAACTTTTGTTGTATAACTGTTACCTGCAGCCCATATACAACCTCTTAAATGACTGAAGTGTCCTATTACGTGTGCCCATTCCGCTTGTATAGCTGTTCTAAGAGGGTTTTGAGAATGTTCTTACAGTATACAATGCTGTGTAAGGAATACTGTATAATCATTCTTGCAACTCTAATAGGAGTGATAATTGTTAGTTGGGTAGTCTATGCTGAACAAATTGCGTTTTGTCAAATTCAAGTCACAACGAATTTTGCGGAAATACGTCAGAATGGTGGTATTTTTGAACATTTATTGAAATAAATGAATAATCTAATTTGTTTTATTTTTATTTTTACGAAAACAGTGCACTCTAGGACAAAACACAAGAGTAACTATTTGTAGGAAATTGAAGGTAAAATTCGAATAATTGGCCTACAATTTTATTTGGAAAAATAATACAACTAATCCCCTGTATTTCCGCCAGTGGTGCATGTTAATTTCAACTAAAGACTTACACATACCAAATTGTAGTTCAATCAAGTCGACGGTTTTGGAATTATTAAGAAAAATTGTTTTTTATCTTTAAACTTCAACACCCCGTATCATGTGTATGCTGTTTCATTTTTGGTCACGACTTGTGAATCACCCTGTGTAAAAAATGCTAAGGCTCATTAGTTACACTGGACAACAAATTTTAGTTTTTTAATTGTATCTTGTGGGAAAAGTGCACTTCTTTGTTAATTTTGGGGCGCTGAATCCAAAAATGACAATGAAATAAAAAAATTAGTTGCGGTTTAGAAAAAAAACTTTTTATTTTTAAGGATATATTAAAAAAGTAACAAGATTCATATACTTATAAGAATCACTATATGCGCTGTCTTTTTGCTGTTCTTTTATGGATCGTTTCTGGAGCATCTCTACCAAGAGTCCAACAGTAGTCTGCACGCATGGAAGGATTCCACTTTTCCTGGTACCTTTTTTCCATTGTTGAAATATCCTGATGAAAACGTTCGCCGTGCTCCGCAATTGTCAGGAAAAAAGTCCAGGTGTGAGTGTAGGAAATGTATCTTAAGAGACATATTACAGCCCATCTTTTGATATGATGACAGCATATCTTTGATAAGGGTTTTATAGTTGTCAGCTTTTCTATTTCCCAAGAAATTAGTGTCCACCAGACGGAAATCATTCCAAGCTGTTTTTTCAATACCTGTTAAAGTGTTTTCAAACTGTGTATCTTTCAAAATATTTCGAATCGGTGGCCCAACAAAAATACCTTCTTTAACCTTTGCCTCACTTAGTTTTGGAAATTTCTGACGCAGGTATTGAAAAGCTGACCCATCTCTATCTAATGCCTTGACAAAGTTTTTCATTAGGCCCAACTTGATATGCAGTGGTGGTAATAAAAATTTTTTCGAATCTACTAGGAATTGACGAACAGGCCAGATTTGTCTGGTGTAATGAAGTGCCTTTGCCCGACTGTCCCATTCACACAAAAAACAGCAAAACTTTGTGTAGCCTAGCTGCAGCCCAAGTAAAAGTGCAACAACTTTCAAATCGCCACAAATATGCCATTGGTGCTCATCGTATTTTACACATGTCAATAGGTACTTCATATTGTCATATGATTCTTTCATGTGAACTCCATACCCTACAGGAAGAGATGGTAAAATATTTCCAATATGCAATAACACTGCCTTTAAACTCAATGTTGAACTGTCTATAAACAATCTCCATTCTTCTGGGTTATAGTTTATATTTAAAGATGCCAGTAAGCCGTTAATGTTACTGCAGAAAACCAAGTTATTCTCCATATTGAAAAATGGTTCTAAGTCTTTGTGGCGTTTACGAAAAACACATACCGAAACATCGTCTTCTAACAAGTTCTACTACTGCAGTCTTGATCCAAGTAACTCTGCCTTACATTTTGGAAGTTCTAAATCTCTTACAAGATCATTTAATTCTGACTGTGTTATTTTGTGCGGTTGGTGGCATGACGTGCTCGGTATAAAATCAGGATCTCTTGACGTTGATGGCATATCTTCTTCCTGACGAATCACTCGATCGCCATGATCTGATTCGTTTTCTGATTCGCAAGTGTAGGATTCTGGGGGTTTAGGGGAATAGGATTTTCGTCACTGTGAGGCACAGGTCTCATCGGAGATGGTATGTTTGGGTAGTTAATAACCGATTTTTTTTCTTGGACATACCTGTGGCTTGTCCAACACAAGGTACCATGCAAAAGTAACAATCATTAATATGATTTGTAGGCTCTCTCCAAACCATTGGGACAGCAAAGCGCATAGACCGTTTTTTGCCATTTAACCAGCTCCTCAGACTTGAAGCACATGTATTACAGCAGATGTGGGGTGCCCACTGTTTGTCTTGATCACCTAGTTTACAACCGAAATAAAGCTGATATGCCTTTGTTATTAGTGGAGTAATAGACCGTCTCTGAGGCGCAAAAGTCACATCACCACACACGTAACAAAACTGATCTGGATTGTTTACACACTTTCGAGACATCTTGCATGAACGCTGTCAGCCAACTGAGGAAAGAATGGCTAATATAAAACAATATAATGTACACGTATGTATAACGTAACACAATCATGCCGATTACATCATCTTTCGTTGCCGAATATAAAAATGTAGCACGTGCATTCTTGTGAATTACAGTATATTAACACTGTCAGAGCAGGAACACATATAATTACCGTATCTCTAAAACTTGAACTAATATTGAAAAAATAAGTTTAATTCCGGTTTTAGCACATTAAAAATAGTAATATTTTGTTGATTTTATTTAGGATATTTTTTGGCTGTTGATCAGTGTTATCTGTCAGTACTTGGTGCTTGCGTATTCGCAGCCAATGTCTTTTTCCAATACATCTTGCCTGATTCGCTGGTATCAGGGTATGTCATCCACAGTACACATTTTTTTTTCATTGCCAATCTGCGAAGTAGCTTTTCTAAGTAGATAATGATAATAAAAGGCACCTAAATAAATAACGGTAAACATCGAAATCTGATATTATCAGTTCGGCAATTGAACATTGTATTTAGGAATATTTGAAAAGCTAAATAATCGGCATAATATTTGAAAACGCCTGTCTATGTTACCAGAATGAAAACAACCTACCAGCATTTACCCCATACCCCTATTTAAAATGGACCAGCCCAACCGGCTGCTAATACATTCATTAACTTCAGTTTAACAACAGCTAACTAGATATTAGATATGATACGGTAGAAAGTAGATGTGTCATAAATATCAGGTAACCAAATAAGTTCGTGAAGTTTTTAGCAGAAAAATATAAATTTTTATTGAGAAACAACAATAAGACCCTATTTATTCGTCGAAGTAATTACCATCACATTCAACGACAGTTTGCCAACCTGGAACCAATTTTTGTATGCCGGTATTGTAGAACTCCCTGCATTTGGCGGACTGCATTTATTACCCCATCTCGAGTTGTGAACTGTCGGTGCCTCATACAGTTGTCAAGAGACAAAAAAAGGTGATAATCACTGGGCGAAATGTCGGGAGAATATGGCGGGTGTGGTAACGTTTCCCAGCCGAGTTCAGAAATTTTTTCTCGGGTCACTTCTGCGGTATGAGGCTAGGCGTTATCCTGCAAGAATACGAGGAATGTCTTTTAAGTATTGCATATGGAAATAAAACAACACGGTAGGTAGTTTTAAATTACTATTGTTTTTCGAAGTATTCTCCACGAAGATTAATACACATCTGCATGCGTTCGAACTAATTTTCGAAACACTTATTCGACTCGTTTGCTGGCAGATCCAAAACGGCATTTTTGAATGCGTAAACTGCTTCTTCTGGTGACTGGAACCTTTGACCACGCAGTCTGTTTTAAATTTTCGGGACTTAGATCGGGAGTATATGGAGGATGGATCAATAATTCCACGTTTTCTTCCGTTAAATACTGCCTTGTTTTTTGGGCTGTGTGCGAGCTAGCATTGTCTTGGTGGAGGATGATTCTTCTATCGGGGTTGATTTTTCGAAGCTCGGTGATGACTTTTGGCAAACAAATGGTGGTATAGGGAATTGTGTTGAATAAGAGGAATTGTTGCAATATGACTCACTTTTGACACAAATGTCTCGACCATCGTTTTCGAAACACTTCGAGAACGGATGACTTATGTTGGCTTTTCTTCACCTTGGAACACCCAAACAGCCGACTGTCGTTTATTGTCTGGTTCATAATAATAAATCCACGACTTATCACCACTAACAATGCTGTACAGCTTTTTTGAGTTTCCGGAATAGAAACGGTCAAGCGTTTTTTGACACCAATTAACCCTGGCTGCTTTCTGCTCTTCAGTCAACAGGTGGGGTATCCAACGAGAAACTAATTTTCTTACTCCTAATTCTTCATGTAAAATTTTTTGAATTGAGGTCTTTGAGATCTTCAAGGACGCCTCTATCTCGCGATATGTCACATGTCTATCTCCAATGATGAGTTTGCGCACAGCATCGACGTTTTCCTGGGTGACTGCCACTTTTGGTGCACCCAACCTGAAATCGTCGCTAAGACTCACCCGTCCACGTTTGAATTCTCCATACCAATGGGAAATTGTCGGCTGATGTGGCGCTTCGTTGCCTAAAACAGACAGTAACTCAGCAAGGCATTCTTGTTGCGATAATTTTCTCTGAATGTTGTAATTCAGTACTGACGTTCGATCCGCGCGGCCTACTATATTTCTATATGCAAAACTTAAAAGACATCCCTCGTATCACTTCCTTCCGATTGATCAAAGAAGGCTGTTTATGGATGAGTGCTGCTTGTACTCGTTGAAGCTGCTCATAATACAAGTTAGCAGTGATAGTTTGACCCCTTTCTAAAAACTCGTACTGTCCACCAAACAGACAACAAAACCTTATTTGGTTACAAGGAAGCCTTGGGCGTGTGTGGTACCGAATCAGTAGGCGACAACCAATGATACGAACGCCTAGAATTCGAGTAAAAGATCCATTTTCCGTCGCAGATTAAGCAATGGTTCATTAGCGTTGCGTGAAATGTTTGCTGAACAAATGCTAAGACGACTTAATTTGCTATCATTTGTCAGTTGTGTGCGATATACAGCAACCGCACGAACCTATTTGGTTACCTGATATACAGTCTTAGCAGTGAAAACATCCTATACATATCTTGTTTGAGAAGGTCATTATTGACGTGTAATGATGATATACTATTTTTTGTGCCTTGAAAATCATGGTTTTCATTTTTCCAAATCTTATTTGACGGTTAATTTTAGAGAAAGCATATTTACTTTATTTGGAGCGTTTGGATTAACAATTGAAAATAATATTTTAGAATGAAATAAGCTCAAGTCATATTTTAGAATCTTGTGAACGAACGTTAGAATGACTAGTTAATTGATGAATTCAAATACAGGGTGTTTCAGAAGTATGGGATCAAACTAAGGGTTATTCAGTGTAACAGTAGAAAACATTTGAGTATAGGGACTCATATCCGGAAAAGTGTGACTTCGGCACTACGGTCCTAAGACGCGTTAAAATTTAGAAAGACGATGAATTACCTAAATATGATTTAATACAATTATTGCCTTTTGTACATGATATCATCACTACAATAATTGTTCAAAAAGTCTTCCTCCAACCTGACACTTCTCCGGATATGGGTCCCTATACTCAAATGTTTTTTCTAGTAATAACACTAAATAACCACTAGAAGTTTGATCCCTTAGTCCTGAAACACCGTGTATAATAATTTCAAGTTAGTGCTCCAATAGGGCTAATTTTCAATGCTTTAATATATCCTTAAATATGATATTTTATGTTTATCAGTGGGAGCCTCGGTGGGAACTATTGAAAACTTTAATGGAAGAAAATTTTTAATATTTGGTGGTACTTTATGTTTTTATATACTGTTCGCGTAGGTGTCATGTCGCTTTCCTATTGTGGCTCGTCTTACAAGAGTGATGTAGAGAAAATTATTAGAGTACCATTTCCAATAGTGCCTTCGTCCTCTAATACAGTACAAAGTGAGATCAGTAATTTATCACTGCCATGGTGTGGTAGTAGGAGACCTACGCAATACAACAAACGCGGTAGATGAGACATTGTTCCCAACAGCGGCATAATTCCCTTTTAATGAGGGCTGAAAATGATACACTGATAACATAAATCCTCTTCAGTCGGCCATCGTACATAACGTAAATACAAAACCGCAAGCGGTATAGCTGCATGTGGGTTTGCCTGGGAGATTTTATCGACACGCCACGTCGGATCTACTCGACCGATCGGAAACTATTGTACTGAAGGAATGGCGTCAAGTAGGTTGACTCTGCACTTCCTACGCGTCGCTGTCATCAGTTCATAATCACCATCGTTCGGCAAAGGAAAAAAGCTTATTACCAGCACGTATAACAAGGAGATAAAATTGATCAAGCGAGCCAAGCAGGCTCATACATTTAATCCATAGTCACCTCTTATTGATTAGCGCTGCGATCTAGAAATTTCTTCCCGCTCTACCGAAATTATCAACCAACTGGCAACGTTATTGAATCAGTTAGTCATGCCATAAGACAGCGGTGAGCGGTAAGCCGGCAGACGCGGACAGGATTTTGTGTTCATAAGTATTATGTTATGTTCGTAACTAACGGCAAGTGCGACTGATACGCGACGTGTCTGTTTTAATTTTAAGAACAAGCGTACGGAGAAATCTATGATGTATAGTATATGTAATAGTTGTTGCGTAAAATTATCGGGATTGAAGCGTACAAATATACTACGGCCAAAAAATTGAGATGTAACAGTGAAACGGATATATCAAATCTTGGTAAAGTGTTCCACACCCGATTATTAACAGTAAATTACGATATCTAAAGCAGTTTAAAATTTTTTCTCAACAGACATAGGTTTCTTAGATTTGTGTTGTAGTTCCGTATTCTTTTTGGCTACATTCATCCAGTAGCGCTACAGGAGGGGGGCACACAGTTAACCTAACCTTTATTAAAGTTGCAGATATTTATTTTCAATATACACATTCATTATATAAAAAAACTGCTGTCTTTTGAGAGCTAGTTACCCCCTTTCCTCTTTGGGAGCACCAATGCGTCTGTTTTGTCACTGTCAGAACGATGTCCTTTGTTGATGTTCGATAGAAATACAGCGAAGTCTGGAAATACAATTGGAGGTAGTGTTTTACAAAAATTGATCTATCGCATTATATTTAAATTACGGTCTAGATCCTCTTGTCGTGAGATATGTGTTAAACACAAAATATCCACAGTAGCATGATATATGCATGTTTATGACTTCCACGACTACAGCACGCGGAATGAAAATAATACAGTTAGGGCCAATTTCACCAACATTAATATTTGACGGTCAGTTGGACCAATAGGGAAAGACCTTATCGAAATGCAATTTGACAGAAGCTGTTAAAGCTCTCCGAATATCAGTATTGAAATGTAAAATAAAGTCGTGAAAAAAACGTATGCCTTATAAATAGATGTAATATTATGTCTTTGTGCTTTAGGATTAGGAAAACTTTCATAGAATTTAAAATTTTTATCATTCAACAAGAGACGGTCAGTTATTTAAATGGACCAATGAAAATGAGAGAAATAACAGGTCGATTTTCTAGCTATTACTTTTTGTAGGATGTTTTCATTGTTTTTGACTGTTCACGCATGGCAATCTAATTTTGTCTGTATATCACGTACATGGTGTTTTACATAATACGTAATTGTAGAAATGTACCGATTTTTGTTATTTTGCAAAAAAAGGGATTTAAAACGTATTCCAACTGGTTCATCATCTATTGTTACATCAACAACAATTTTTGCCAATTTATGATCTAGAAATTCACACCAAATGTAAACAAACAGCACATTCTGCATTTCTGGGTCCTAAAACATCGATATTTGTAAAAGTATGCGCATCCACCTATCATGCATCGTCTAGATATTATAAGTCAGAATCAAAAATACCTATTTATGAAAATATATCTCCAAACAGTTATATTTTCTTTCATGTGGTACTTCCTGATTTTTATTATGATCCCTCTCATATTATTGGAAAAAAATTAAACTCTATATTACTCTAGACGTGGAATCTCGTTTTAATGGGGAAACCTATTACGTCACGCTCAGAAACATGTACCATCTTTGAAGAAGCTTTATCTGTCACGATGAACTTAACGCTTGAGTCGGATAATTTCTAGGCAAAAAATAACTACCAAAAATCACTCATATCCAAAAACATAACCCTCCCTTATATTTGGTATCCCAAAGGATTACAAATCCCATAATTATCAGAATTGTCCTGAAACTGGACCACACCGTTGTATTGAACCTTCGTACATGCCAATCTCAATATTACAGATTACAAAGAAAGGGATTGGTTTGATAGCCAGCAATCCAAATGGATCTATCATATACGCCTTCTAAAGCACTGTATCCAGCCTTGATTCTTTAATCAAACTCCATAGCCTTGACACATGCATGTAGCTTGCCGCTGTTGGATTTGTAGTTCCTACTTTTCTCAAGCCATACTCTTGCCAGGTGTTCACAGTGATCCAGGAGATGCACTGGGTTTTTCTCATGCTCTCTACAGAAACGGCATGTGCCCTCTTCTGCCAGGCCCAAGAGCCTCATATGTCGATTTAGTGTCCCCTTAAGGGATTCATCAACGCCCTTATGACCTTCCCATTAAATAGGAGTGGGTCCTTGTAAATGCAGGTCTTCGTCATCTGATGAACCCTTTTGCATGATTGTGCCCTAATTGGCCATTCCACCATTCTAGTGACTTTTTCTTGGTCTACTTTCTTATGGACTGCTTAGTGCGTGTCGCGCCCCAGAAATGCCGCCCAGAGCAATGTTAAATTGCTTCGGTTTCAAAGCTCTTTGA